GGAAAACTTTCAAGTATACCAAACCTATTGGAAAACTTTCAAGTATACCAAACCTATTGGAAAACTTTCAAGTATACCAAACCTATTGGAAAACTTTCAAGCATACCAAACCTATTGGAAAACTTTCAAGTAAACCAAACCTATTGGAAAACTTTCAAGTATACCAAACCTATTGGAAAACTTTCAAGTAAATCAAACCTATTGGAAAACTTTCAAGTATACCAAACCTATTGGAAAACTTTCAAGTAAACCAAACCTATCTATACTTGAAAGTTTTCCCAAACCTATTGGAAAACTTTCAAGTATACCAAACCTATTGGAAAACTTTCAAGTAAACCAAACCTATTGGAAAACTTTCAAGTATACCAAACCTATTGGAAAACTTTCAAGTAAACCAAACCTATTGGAAAACTTTCCCTCAGATTGCGAGTCGAGCGCCCTAACCACCTGACCATGCCGGGCAAGTTGGATAAAAAAAGCATTTCAAGTGACAAGACAATAATGTAACAAAGGTATCCAACAATATTTTATTAGAAGTTTTAGCTTTTTCAACAAGGAACAATATTTTTAGACTGTTGATTGTTGATATAAATACGAAAACCTTCTTTACTGTTAAAACTTGTGTACTTGAGAATGATCGCACCAGTAGTCGAATCTGTTTTAAAACATATTCTTCCTTACTGTAAAAGCTGTAACTTCTAAGAAAATAATACTTATAATCACTAAGCAAACTCAAAACTAAACTATTAAAGATATCCAATGCTTGACAAATAGCATTGTTACGTGGATATCTAGTGGCAAGACAAATAACAGTGTAACGAAGCTGTCCTAAGACTGTTAATTCTGCATTCATCATAATTTCTCTCTGGTTAATAACTTTAATACCAGATGTCACTACTGTTGCCTAGATACCTGTTTTAAAATAGTTTTTCCACAGATAAACGAATTTGTGTTGCATATTATACTGTGCCCGATGAAGGCTACGGTAAAAAGGCTGAAAAATGGCAAATAATAGTATTTTAACGTATGGAACAGTCGGTGTATGCACTATAAAAATTAAATAAAGAGTAATGATAATTCTGGATTACAACATAATAATAAGTAATAATACAACAATATAAGAGTAATGATAATGTTGGATTACAACATAATAATGAGTACTAATACAACAATATAGTGATAATAGTGAGCTCTGATATCAGTATATGTGTGTGTATATAATTTTAAATAATCGTACAAGTGATCATAAACTAACAATAAAGTTACGTTGATTCAATAAATGTTGATTAGATAAACTGCGAGATTTAAAATGGTATCAAATTCATTATTTCATAAACCCTTTTATTTACAGTCCGGGATGACCTTCTGCTTTGTTTAAATCTATGCAAAACAACAACGAGTCTATCACATTACACTACCTATATCTTTGTCTGTTTTTGTATTAATATTAATCGCAATTTTCGTTTTATCATAATCGTCCCTCTCGGTATAAACACGTAGGTTCTGTAGGCGTAATAGAAAGTAAGTCTAATAAATATGTTTATTATTATATATTTAACAAATAAGAGAGTAAATTAACACCAAGCGCCATGCACGTCCATACGTTGTTAGCCCAAGTAATATTTTCAACTAATTAGCGTACTACTGACTACAACCAACACCACATAGGGTAACAGAGCAGTTCTTGGTATTCGTTACGACGTCACATCATCGCCTCCGTCTCTTCAAGAAAGAAATGCAGCCTATGAACTTATTATACTGGGTGTTTTTATCCATGGATGGCAATGTGGCCAGTTTTCTGTAAAAGCTTAGTCTGTCACACGAAACACTCATTATCTGTAGTCCATTGTGATGTAATAAACATTATAGCAGTGCCATGTAATAAAGGAATTTGTAATACCGCCTGTGGTCCAGAACAAAGCTGCTGTTGTAAACACTTCTGTTGTCCATGAATACTATAAAAAAAGCTGTTGTAAACACTTCTATTGTCCATGAACACTGTAAAGGAGCTGCGGTAAACACTTCTGTTGTCCATGAACACTGTAAAGAAGCTGTTGTAAACACTTCTGTTGTCCATGAATACTATAAAAAAGCTGTTGTAAACACTTCTGTTGTCCATGAATACTATAAAAAAGCTGTTTTAAACACATTTGTTGTCCATGAACACTGTAAAGAAGCTGTTGTAAACACTTCTGTTGTCCATGAATACTATAAAAAAGCTGTTGTAAACACATTTGTTGTCCATGAACACTGTAAAGAAGCTGTTGTAAACACTTCTGTTGTCCATGAACACTGTGAAGAAGCTGTTGTAAACACTTCTGTTGTCCATGAATATTATAAAAACGCTGTTGCAAATACTTCTGTTGTCCATGAACATTGTAAAGAAGCTGTTGTAAACACTTCTGTTGTCCATGAACACTGTAAAGAAGCTGTTGTAAACACATTTGTTGTCCATGAACATTGTAAAGGAGCTGCGGTAAACACTTCTGTTGTTCATGAACACTGTAAAGAAGCTATTGTAAACACTTCTGTTGTCCATAGACACTGTAAAGAAGCTGTTGTAAACACTTCTGTTGTCCATGAACACTGTAAAAGAGCTGCGGTAAACACTTCTGTTGTCCATGAACACTGTAAAGAAGCAATTGTAAACACTTCTGTTGTCCATGAACACTGTAAAGAAGCTGTTGTTAATGAACATTGTAAAGAAGCTGTTGTAAACACTTCTGTTGTCCATGAACACTGTAAAGGAGCTGCTGTAAACACATTTGTTGTCCATGAACACTGTAAAGAAGCTGTTGTAAACACTTCTGTTGTCCATGAACACTGTAAAGGAGCTGCTGTAAACAAATTTGTTGTACTACAACATTGTAGGTAAGGGACTGTTAAAACGTTTGTTGTTCGGAAACATTGTAAATAAGGTGATGTAAAAACCTTCTGTAGTCTAGCTTGTAAAGAAGCTACAATAAGCTCTTGTTTAGTCCAACAATATTATACTCTGGACTTATCTGTTGAATTTTGCAAAAAGCTACGCTAGCTGTCCCTAATTGTCTGACCATTCCTGTCGTTCATCCAGGTCTCGTGGAAGCACTGTTGTACTGTTGATTCTTCTACATATTTTAGTTTTATACATGTTCATGAATAGCTGGACAGTGGGTACAGAAAAAATCTTGATTGTTCGGTGAAACTCATCAATGATGAGACGTCCACTATTATTTGAAGCAAAGCCTATATTCTAATTTTATCGGATGTGTTGTAACAACAAGTACGATGTTTTCAACTGACATCTAGCGGTATTTATTCTAGTTACTGTTATAGGTAAACATGATTGTTTTCATACATTAAACATTTCGTTTATATCTGCATTTCATTAGGGCTTTTTTCAGGTTTTATCGTATTTGTGTAGAAAGCAGGTCAAGTAAAATAATTATCAGCTTTTCCTCTCATTGCAACATCCATACGAAGGACAAACCCATTTATTGGTTTTAGCAGTAATTATAACCTATTTAAATGCATTTCTAGCAGTTCCTCAGCAAATAATAAGAACTTCTGTGAAATACATTAGCAGGAATAACGTGATACTTAACAGAAAACATACAGAAGTTAAAAAAACTAACGTTTACTTGAAAGTTTTCCAATAGGTTTGGTACACTTGAAAGTTTTCCAATAGGTTTGGTATACTTGAAAGTTTTCCAATAGGTTTGGTTTACTTGAAAGTTTTCCAATAGGTTTGGTATACTTGAAAGTTTTCCAATAGGTTCGGTAACTTGAAAGTTTTCCAATAGGTTTGGTCTACTTGAAAGTTTCCTAATAGGCTAGGTTTAGTTGAAAGTTTTCCAATAGGTTTGGTTTACTTGAAAGTTTTCCCAATAGGTTTGGTTTACTTGAAAGTTTTCCAATAGGTTAGGTTTACTTGATTCTATCATGATATTCAACACACCATTAACTATGTTCCATCAAGCTAGTGAAACTGTTAAGTATATCCCATCACGACACTAAACACTCACCTGGAAGCACGTTCCATTGTGATACTGTATACTTACCACAAAAGGTGTTCTTCCTGACGCTGTACACTAAAGTATACTCTTCATGTCAGTGTTTTAATCTCTCCCTTTTATTGTCTCATCGGGGAGATTTTGTAACAATTTTATACTTCATACTTAGACTTAAAACCTCTTTGAGTCATGTAAATGATTGATTTGTTAAACTAGAACAGATCCGAGAAACGTCAGGCATGATCTATTTCTAATTATCAATTTACTGAAAATTCCTCAACGTGTGTTAATGAAATAGTAAAACTTCCTACCGTCATCAATAATAGATTCCTTATCGTTTCTCCGGATGGAACGGTACTTGTCACGCTCTGTCTGCTGTTTGCTCGCAAACTCTAAAGAAATAAATATAAGATATAAAATATGTAAAAAATGTTTAAAGTTTCCTGAAATCAAAATAAGTCGACACCAACCAACATCAGAAATATTATTACAAGCTATGTATATTGTTAATGTTGACATTTATTTGTTAGTTAGAGGGAGCTGCGAGGCATTGATTATAATATTAATTGTGCAAGTCAGTTGATTTTTAGGTTGTGTAATAGAGTACAGTTAAGAGTGGCCGAAAAGTTAGGCCTACAACTAGAACTAGTAGTAATCGTTACAACAGTGTTCGAGGTTGTAATAACGTTAAATGAGGAAATAAACTGTTTTCATGTAAGTGAACAAAAGGTTGAATTATTTTTATCTGATAATTTGAAAGACCACGTCACTACAGTATTTTATGTTTAGACAAAATAATCCTAATGCCCTTATGGCTACAGAAGTGGTTATATACGAATAAAAATTGGATTATAAACAAAATCTCAAGTGACCCAATTAACAAGTCATTAGTTGAACATTTTCACTGTACACGATGTTTTTAACTATAATTTATAAATGTTTTTTGCATAATCATTAGTTTGTTTGTTTTGAATTTCGCGCAAACCTACACGAGGGCTATCTGCGCTAGTCGTTCCTAATTTAGCAGTGAAAGACTAGAGGGAAGGCAGCTAGTCATCATCACCCACCGCCAACTCTTGGGCTACTCTTTTACCAACGAATAGTGGGAGTGATCGTCACATTATAACGCCCCCACGGCTGAAAGGGCGAATACTTCACGGTGAGTGTTCAGTGTCTTGATGGAACATACTTCACGGTGAGTGTTCAGTGTCTTGATGGAACATACTTCACGGTGAGTGTTCAGTGTCTTGATGGAACATACTTCACGGTGAGTATCCAGTGTCGTG